CCATAAGTTTGGAGAACAAACCTCCACCTCATCCTACACCTGAGTTATTCACTACCATCTCAATTAAACTTATGCTTAAACCATATGTTTAAAAAATAGATATCCAACTAGACAGTTGAGTCGTGGCAACTGGACTTTTTTTCTTTGAAATGTTTCACTGCTTATCCAGGTATTATCTTCAGTCTGAGAACATTGGCTAGGGCAGGGGTGGTCAATTGTGACTCTTTTATAACCTGTGGACTTCAACTCCCAGAATTCTTGAGACAGCCAAGCTGTCTCATGAATTCTGGGAGTTGAAGTCCACAAGTTGTAAAAGAGCCACAATTGCCCATCCCTGGGGTAGGGAGACCCCATATATGTCCTTCAAGGTAGTTTCATTTCTCACCTATTCTGAATAGACTCGTTAAGTGATAAGCAGAGAGTCATTACGGGTTCCTTGCTCTAAATCCTTCTCTTAGTTGGGTTGTTAAATGTGACCTTCCTAGTGAACCTGTGGTCATGATTTTTCTGCAAGAGCAGCATTAAAAAACGGAGAAGGAGTTGGGTCTAAGGCGTGCAACTATCGAAGGAAGATGTTCACTTTAGCATAAATAGATTCCTTCACTCCTCTCTCAAAACATCTGTCTTCCCTGTTCAAAATGGTGAACATTATGGTCCTCAAAAGAATATTCTTTTTCTTTTAAGTGAAAGTATACTGCTGATTTTGATCCTGTGGCATTGTTTTTCCTCCTCTTGTGGAAAGGCTGCTTGGTTTCTCCAGTGTAGAGTTCTAAACACACTTTGCCTCACTGTACTGCATACACTACATTATTCTTCTTGTGTTCTGGTGTAGAATCTTTATAGAGTGGACAAGCCTCTGTTTTATTGGAGTCTAGAACAACTTGCCAGAGCCATCTCCATTGACAAAAATGGAAATAATGTCTAAGAAATAGTAGCCAATAACATTTATCACATTGATGTATCTCGCAAGGTGAGTTGGCCCGTGGTAAGCTGTCCCACGGTAAGATAGCCATGGCGAATCAACCAACATGTATGATATATCAAGCAACATGTATGATAGAAAACCTAATATCTAGAATATATATTGCCTTGCTAATGTTAAAGCTACTCCCATGATGAATTTGTAAGTCTGTGGGCAAGTTAGTTCTTTGAGGTGATGCCATGTAATTACATATATATCTTCCAGTATAAATCTTAAAATATTTGTGAGGAAATATTTCTTACGAGGATGACTAATACCACTGGCTTAGGTAGGCAGAATGCAGATGGAGAGTTTGCAAGCTTTCCCATGGATTCTTGCCAGTGCACCTGAATAATTTCAACCTAAAAACTCCTACCAGTTGAGAAACCAGGCAACTAATGAACTGATATCACCCACAGCGTTTAATTGAAGGATGCCCATACAGATGTTAGCAAATACTGAATTACTGAATATGGAGCTACCTGAATGTAGATTTGAATGAACGGGAAACTACTATAAAATAAATTTGTCTGAGGTTTTGCCTTGCTTTGCTTGCAGGGTTTTTTAAATCAGTAGTTTCTATTTTTTAACCCAAAATTTTATGTTTTGTTTCATAATACCCATTTAATAACACACCAGTGTAATAATACCCACTCAGTTACATCTGAGCTGCCTAGAATAGAATAGAATAGAATAGAATAGAATAGAATAGAATAGAATAGAATAGAATAGAACAGAACAGAACAGAACACAACAGAACAGAACACAACAGAACAGAACAACAGAACAGAACAGAACAGAACAGAACAGAATAGAATTTTTTATTGGCCAAGTATGATTGGAATTTATCTTTGGTGCATACTCTCTCATTGTACATAAAAAAAAGATACGTTCATCAAGAATCATAAGGTACAATACTTAATGATAGTCATAGGGTACAAATAAGCAATCAAATCATATTAGGAAACAGTCAATATAAATCGTAAGGATACAAGCAACAAGATTACAGTCATAAGTGGGAGGGGATGGGTGATGGGAACGATAGAAGGTTAATAGTAGTGCAGACTTAGTAAATAGTTTGACAGTGTTGAGGGAATTATTTGTTTAGCAGAGTGATGGCGTTCAGGGAAAACTGTTCTTGTGTCTAGTTGTTCTGGTGTGCAGTACTCTAAAGTGTTGTTTTGAGGGTAGGAGTTGAAACAGTTTCTGTCCAGGATCTGATCTGCCTACCTGCTGAAACTGCTAATTGTGTTTGATGAAAAGACCATCATGAACAAGGGTTCATGATATCCTGAAAGGAGAGAATGAATAGGATAGTCCAAACATTAAAATATTAAAGGGCAATGATAGAATATTCCCATCTGATCTGTTAATTTCTGATCATTGGGTGAAGATAAGAAACCACAGAGCAGATTGAGACCTGTATGTCTAAATCATTATCTCTTATTATGTTTGTACTTAGACACCATTGCATGGTAAGCAAGCTGCTACCGTACAGATATTTTGAACTTCAGCACCCAGGATCTCTTCCCAAATTGGCTGGGGCTGGTAGAATTAAAATCCAAAACATAGGCAGCAAGCTGACCTGACTCTACACTACAGCCATTACAACATTACAAAGCTGGTGTAAAACTCATGGAATATGAATCTATATAAAACATGGGTGTCAAACTCGCCGCGTCACATTGCCGTCACGTGACATTCCATGATGTTTTTCCCCTTCGTGGAGGCTGGGCGTGGCCTGCACGTGACGCATCCAGCCCACGGGTCACCAGTTTGACACCCCTGATACAGAATGAGACCTCAAAGCAGCACTTTCCATCGGTAGAGTACAGGTTAAAACTCCTGGCCTTCATGTTCAGGCAACACTGTTTATTACATTTTCTCTTTGACCTGTTGGATATTGATTAGTATTCAAAGTGTTTAGTTATTTGATTGTTTTAATTGTTAGGCGTATTGTATCTTTCCCAACCAGATGCTATCTGAATATGTTAAACTTTTGACTCTCATGACTTTACACTAAGTTGTTTCAGTTGCTATTGGGCTTTATTTTAGAGGCCCAGCTTAAAGAAACAATTATTTAGAGTTTTTAACTAAAGCAAAATGCCAGAGATGTAATTATCCAAGTTCTGCTTGTCTGCAATTGTGACCTTAACTGGACAAAGAGGCTCTTGAGACTGTGGCTCATGCCTTTGTTACTACCCTCTTGTTAAACTACTACAGTACTTGGGAACATCCTTTAAAAATAACCCAGAAGTAGCAGCTAGCATGAAAGGTGGTTGCTTATCTGTGGACAGGTGCCAACCAACCTGTTTACCATAATAACACTTTCGCTGTGGGAGCTGAACGAGTTGCCAGCAAAGTTCCAGGCCAAGTTCAAGTTGCTAGTTTTTACCCATAAAGCTTATACAGTATGGCTTGGATCTTCACTACCTTTTAACTATCTGCTTGCACAAGGGAGTCGCTTCCTGAGAGAGGGAGCTGGATGCCTGGAGAATGACACTTTCCCAAAGCTCCCTCCCTGCTGATATAGAATAGAATAGAATAACAGAGTTAGAAGGGACCTTGGAGGTCTTCTAGTCCAACCCCCTGCTTAGGCAGGAAGCCCTACACCACTTCAGACAAATGGTTATCCAACTTCTTAAAAACACCCAGTGTTGGAGCATTCACAGCTTCTGGAGACAAGTTGTTCCACTGATTAATTGTTCTAACTGTCAGGAAATTTGTCCTTAGTTCTAAGTTGCTTCTCTCCTTGATATATAGGAAGGCTGTTAAAATAGTATTCTTTGGGGAAGAAAGTTGAGTAGTGACTTTCAATATTTTATTTTGATTATTGTGTTTACATTTTTAAACAGTTAGGCTGAATGTCTACAGAGATTCTCAATCATCCAGGCCATGGTTGTCTCAAAGGGGCTTTTTCCAAAAAGCAACTGGACTTTCCTGGGTGGTTTTTTTTTTTTTTCCTTTGAAAACATTTCCCTTCTCATCCAAGAAGCTTCTTCAGGGAACTGAAGAAGCTTCTTAGATGAGTAGCGAAACATTTTCAAAAGAAAAAAAAAAACACAAGTCCAAGTTGCCTTTTGGAAAAAGCACTTTTGAGACACACAATTGGCTAGTTAGAATCACGTGAGGCACATTCATGATTGCAAATAAGCAATTTGGAGGGCACCAGATTGGGGAATGTTGCTCTTGACAATATGTGTAATTTTTTTTTTTTGTCTCTCATTATTATCTCCACTACTGAGCTTAATATATCTATTCTCCTCAGGGCACTTATACTATTGAATCTGGTTCTTTGACAGTCCTATATCAACATAAATGACTTCACAATAGTTTTTCCGGGTCTCTCAGACTGACCTTTGAAAATTATTTCAGGACAAAAGTTTCTCCATTTTTTTAAAAAATGTTTCTTTTAAGTGTGCCTTCTCCCTTACAGATATATACTTGCCAGTTGCAAAAAAAATAAAAAAAATAAAAGCACCCTGCTCACAAAAAGGTTTGTGAGCTTAGTAGCCACTAGAATAATAAATGCAAAAGACTATTATATGCGCAATGTATTCTACATGGCTGGAATTAAAGAGCAAGATGAATGGAGCAAGGATGTCATATGATCAAAGAGAATACATTGAATTGCTGATATCTGTTCTTTAAGATAAAATGAGTGCTCCAGTGCAATCTTGTAATGGAGATGTAGAGTAAATTCCTACTGGACCAAAAAAGAAATGATGACTGATGAATTCAGCAACAAGGAAAAGCAGCGATATTTTTAAGCAATACTACGCAGGGATTTTCTTCTGCCATTTCCCCAAATCATTTGAAGGGAAATACTCGATTAGCTAACCTTGTGTCAGGTCTATTAGAAAAACTCTCCAACAGTTCCTGACTGAAGTAAGTAGAGATGGGAGTGAAAGCAGATGGTTTTTATTTTAAGATTTTGCAAAATGGCTCACTCTCAATTTTTTTTAAAAAAAAAATAAAAGCATTGATTTAACAGTAAGGGGATAACAAGCAAATGTTTCACCATTTTATCTTTTCACAGGCAGCTTCACCCCAATAGGAAATGCTTTCAGCCAAACACCATCAGCCGGACTACATTTGGTAAGAAGTAGAATTTTACCTCCTTTCTGCAGGATAAAAAAATGTATTAAACTTTACAAAAATAATCTTCAAAGATTACCACTGAACAAAAGCTTTCTTCCACTTCCACAAAGACTTCCCTCCAGAAAAGCTGTCTGCTTTCCATAATAACAAAACCAAAGAATGAGCAATACAATATTCTCTCTCCCTGTTCATTTTATTCTTATTCATCGTATTCATTTTAATTAGATAAACAGTGATGGCAAATTCTCCATCTTCACTTTAAAACATAATTCAGACTTATGGAGAATATGTGAAAAAGGAAAATTTTAACTGGAATGTTAACTGCAGTTTGAGATGAGAAGATAATTTAATTTTTGCGAATTTATTAACTTAAGCACACCTGCTTTTCTTGTTGTTAGTGTTTGGAGAAACCATAAGGAGACTGATTAAAAAAGAGGGAGAAACATTCATTTTTTTTATTTGCAACAGGTTATTAGGTCATGTTCAATTTTTTAGATTTCCTTTGTTGGATTTTCTCGCCTCAAAAGCAAGGAAAATGTGAAGGTTCTTTGAAAATTCTGGAAAACTTCATTACATGCCATTGCCAAGACTCATTCAAACTTGCAAAAAATATTTTAATTTCTTATGGATTGAGCATTTGTAGCAATCTTGAATAACCATAGGAAGACGTCTGACTGAAAGAAGTCTGACAGTTGTCTCCCTGATCCATCAGTTTTTCTTATATTGCCATTTCCTGTTTTACAGTCGCTCTCCCCCAAGACTTGATTTGAGATTTTTAAAAGTAGCACGTTTAAATTAAATTACAACTGAGTTCTCTCTGGAAGTTTTTGTTAAATAGCTACCACATTTCCCTGAAAATAAGACCCTGTCTTATATTTTTTTGAACCCCGAAATAAGCGCTTGGCCTTATTTTCGGGGAGGTCTTATTATTTTGGGGTGCATGGAGCAAAATAGGGCTCCTCTTGCTGTCTTACCTGATTTCCAGCTCTACGTTTAAATATTTTCGGGGAGGGCTTATTTTCATGGGGAGGCTTATTTTAGTGCATGCGCTCAAAAGCCTGATTGGGCTTATTATCAGGGGATGTCTTATTTTCGGGAAAACAGGGTAGTCTTTCAGCTACAGATAGGTAGAGGGTAAAAAAGATAAGATTATTGTCACAAGCATGATACACAAGCATGCTAGTAGTTTAAAATTACTATCTTGGGTTGAGTATTAAAAATAAAAAGGAGAATGGAAGAGAAAAAAAAATTAAATTAATTTTTAAAGAAGTATCTGTCGGTGGCTTAAACCTGGTTTCTCTAGAAGGGAGCTTAATAAAAGAGGCTCAGATGGTAAATAATAAAAGAAAACACACAACCAATCCAGCAAAAAGAAAAGAAGAACATGAATTTGTATATAAACATCCCTATTCCAATTTTTGGCTTTTTTGGGGGGGGAGGGGTTTATGAAAACAGAAGAGCGCAGTTGCAACAGTTTGATCAAAGCCCTAGTTGGGTATAAAATAATTTAAATTGATTTACAATTTAGAACACTTTATAAAGCATGTTTGATTGTCTTTTCAAGTGGGACAGCCTTATAAAATTCTAAAATTAATTCTCCCTGGATGTTGGCTACCATATACCCTGTTTCCCCCAAAATAAGACATCCCGTGATAATAAGCCCAATCGGGATTTTGAGCACATGGCAATAAAGCCAAGTGCTTATTTCAGGGTTCAAAAAAATATAAGGCAGGGTCTTATTTTCGGGTAAACACAGTAGTATTCCTTTGAAAACCAGAAATGCCATAGATACTATGTGATACTATCTCTACTTATTCTTGACATTATCCTTCATATAATTCTTTGTTATAAATAAATGACTGTAGCTGAAAAGCAGTATGTCCATATGCAATGTTTAATTGACTTTCTGGAATCCTGGATTAAAGCATGGTTTAGATTTATGAACTGGGGTTTTTTGGGGTGAAATTGTTCTGTATTGAGCTACTGTGGCCCACAAAACTATACAGCAACAGTTCTCATCGGATACATCAGTGCAGAAATCCATTATGCTTTTTATTACTTTTTTTCTTTTTAATTGAAGTGGTCTGATTTTTCTTCTAATAGTATGCAAATTAACATCTTTTAAAGTCAAAAGGATGTTTTCTGATTAAAGAAAAACGGATTGAAATAGTTGTACAGCCTGACTAATTTTAGCTGTTGAATTATTTAATCTGCTTTTCAATTCATCTTTTTTAAAAATGAAATTCCTATAAGCTTTGTTACAGCAGCTGTGTTTGCATTTCATGTACGTATGTTTGTACATTACAGATTTCAATAAAGTACAGTCTGGCACAGTTTTTCCTCTAGGCAGATTATAGAGTTCCATGCTCATTAAATCTTTGAAAGACTATAATCAAATAAGGATCACAGTTATCTGAAAACTCAGGAAAGCAGCAGCAGTACTCCTTATAGTAATTTAATGGTTCATATTATATAATGGACCAGAGTTTTGTTATTTCTTAACATTTGAGTTACTGCCACTTTTTCTCCTTTCTGTTTCAAATTGGGCCATTTCAGTATAAGGCTTATGATTCCGTAAAGAGCCTTCGTCCTCCTGCAGTCCTTTATGCTTCCCATACTGGTTCAGAATATCAAGGATCCCTTTTATTTTTTTGTTTTGTTTAGTTTTATTTTTTTATCCCACCTTTATTATTTTTATAAATAACTCAAGACAGCCATCATACTTCTTCCTCCTTCAACTCTGTGAGATGGGTTACTGTGAGAGAAAATGACTGATCCAAAGTTATCCAGCCAACTTTCATACCTAAGGCTTTCAAACTTTCAGAATAGGGACATTGGCAGAGGCAAGGGACAATCAATGTTGGGTGCAATTCTCCACCTTTACAAGCAGGAGTATTCCAAGAAGGAGAGTATTTAGGAAATGCCACATTCTACAGTATTTTGCATCAAATCTCTTTTTCTCATAACTTGAATCTTTTTTTCACTGCACTGTTCAGCATGAAACATAACCTTAATTCAGCTGACTCTCATGTCGAGTTATTTTATTAACTGCAGAGGTTATAATGAGTATATTCATATGACAAACTGAGCCATATTGAGAACTAATCATGGTAACCCTCTTATCCATCACTTTGGAACCTGTGATTTTCTGGTTTATCCACAGTGTAGCTGAACAACAGGGAAGCTGCAGACATAGACAGCTATTAAGCCTTTCTTTGTCAGGATTATATCTAAGGGTAATTCCTTAGTTAAATTTAAGCATTAACTGATGCCATTTTATACTCTTGAAGCAGAGACTTGGAGTGTTCAATAATGACTAGTCCCAATAACTGGGCAGCCCTGAGTTCCTTTAGTTCAAGCTAAGATCACCTAGTGAATTATTTACATGTAGTTCAACCAGACTGCATGTTGTGCAAACACATTCAATAATAAACATAGGTGAAATTACACGTTACTACCTCAGATTGAGTTCAGCCCTTCCTTGCCCCAATGATGTTTTGTTCAGTTTAGTAAATGCCCTCAAGAAAGGAGAAAAAACAATTTAATATTAGAAATTACATCTAGCTCCATCTAGACCTTCAGGCACACTTTTTGTCATCTCCAAACTAGAAAAAACAAACTTATTTTAGAATAAGTTCAAAACTTAAAAGATTGCAATTTTTTTTTGTATTTTTAAACTCTTAATCAGGATAAGAAAGGATAAGAAAGAAAAGATGGGAGTAGCTGATTTTGAAGTATTTGATTTTTTTTAATACTGAAGTAAATTAAATATCTTCCCTTGAATTTTCTTCCTAAAAATTGCCACCTTTTCATCACACTATACATGTACTGATATACACAGTCTTATGGACTTGTCCATTAGTGGTGAAATTGACACATCAAAATGATACAAATCTCTATATACAGTGCTGTAATACGAGAAGCAAGCAACACTTAATAACAGTGTAGGGTAAAGCAACAAAATACCACTATCAGTAGTGGGTTTCAATTTTGGCTGCTACTGGTTTGCTCGTGAGAGGGCGCACGCAACACTTCTGCACATGCACAAAGAAATCTGGGTGGGTGGGCGGAGCCTCCTGCTCCCGCCACTACCGGTTCCCCCAATCCGGGGCAAACCAGTCACAAACCACCACTGACCAGAATGTATGTAAGAAAAATTACCAAGAAGGAATTTGCAAAGGAAAAGCAAAACCTAGGAATTTGTACAAAATACCTTAACTTGCTTTAATAATTGGCTGATGTAAAGATTGGGAAATAAAAATATCAATTACCTATCATGATATCCATTACAATAAAAACTTTTATGCAGCATTGTCAGTAACATACATGTTAGCATCTCAATGAAAACAATGCTGAAATACCTTTTTGTTGTTTTTTGTTTACACTTAAGTGTAGACCCAAGATTCCCCTCCCCCCCCCCCAAATAAATCTTCCAGATGTGTTGCACTTCAGTTCTGGTAATTCCCAGCTAAAGTAAATGTTGATTTGAATCTGAATATCTTCTACTAAACCGCTTTTTGTTCAGAATAATTTCCTATATTCTCCCAAAATGTTGTAAATTACCTAGAGGCTATTTTTGCAGTGTGTGACATTTTCATACAAATTTCTCCCAAAAACCATAAGAAAGATTTTATTTATTTATTTCTGCAGGCTCAAATTTTAAAGGCTTCCCTTGCATAAAACCACAAAATGTGAAAATGGCATGCACCAGCCTGCTACATCCGTTCAAATTGGATTGTAGTTTTCACCCAATTCTAACAAAAGTAACTTTTAAAATATATAGATGTTATAGCTATCTGTTCATTTCCTGTCCTATGGAGAACAGATCCCCTGCCATTTGGTGATGGTGGATGGAGCTTATGAGCACTGAAGTCCAGAGGGCTACATTGAATAAATGTATGAAGGATTAAATGTGTGGAGCAAAGCTTCACATGAAATCCAAGATGAAGGGAATTCTGCTCAATATAACTTAAGATAAAATGACCCATATTCACAATGACATGCAAACCTGTGCATGTCTTTTATGTCCTCCAATACAAGATTGTGTCTTGAGTTTTGAGGCAGATTTTAATCCATTACAATGGAGTCCATACCTCTTTCTGAGTACAATGTTGGGCAGGAAAGCACATATTCCTTTAAGAGGAAGCCCTTTGGAGCCACATTTTAATAACCTTTTAACACAACATCTGGGCGCATTCAAAATATCCCAAGGCATGCTGAAGCTTTAAATCTGTTATTTCCTAAAGCTTACCTCAGCTCATGGTTGTTAGATGGAGCTTTTTGGAGAGCTCATAACTATCATCTTTTTAAAAGAATTATAATGAGAATAGCAGTAATAATCATCACATTGACTCATCCCAGAGTAACAAGAGTCACTCCTTCCCTTTGGGTAAAATTCACTGCCTCTGCAATGTTGCCGTATTCACTGCCTCTGCAAATATTTGTATTATGGAAAAAGCAAAGAAGAGGCTCTCACTTTTCTTGTCATGGCGGCTTTGAGATGATAATGTGGTAAATCAGATGGTTCTGTGGTCTAGGGCTGTTGTAGATATATTTGTGACAAATCTGTGTGTTTACACCCAAAACCAGTTTTTGTTTAGAAATGAAGGAGTAGTTGTACATTGTGTAACTTTTTCCTGTTGCTTCCAATACAAGAACCTAGCAAAGGGTGTTTATTTGCCATATTTATAGGCCATCCACTCTGGGAGGCATACATTAAAAACATTAAAAAGGTGTTTTTCAAACAACAGTCTAAACAATAAAAAAGGAGAAGCAATGGCTAAAAGGAAAACAAGAAACACTAAATCAACAAAACAAACACAAAGTGTTCTAGCCAGTTGAAATCCAATTTTTTTTACTACCGGTTCTGTGGATGTGGCTTGGTGGGTGTGGTGTGGCTTGGTGGGCATGGCAGGGGAAGGATACTACAAAATCCCCATTCCCTCCCCACTCCTGGGGGAAGGATATTGCAAAATCTCCATTCCTATCCCACTCTGGGGTCAGCCAGAGACGGTATTTGCCGGTTCTCCGAACTACTCGAAATTTCCATTACCAGTTCTCCAGAACCTGCTGGATTTCACCCTGGTTCTAGACTAATATCTGGAGGATGAACTGGGTCTTTTGAGACTCACCTAAAAGTGGGCAGAATCAGGGCTATTCTGGTCTCTGGGGGGAGCTGATATTATTGGGCAGACACCATGTCAGAGAAAGCACACCTCCTGGATCCATCAGGTGGCATTCCTTGATAAATGGAATTTATAGCTTTATAGATTGCAATCATTAAATGATTTGGTGGAAATTAGTGACAAGGCAGGAAACTGCTGCTAATACTCTCAACCCCATTTACATGCATAGGTTGATATATCGATATTATATAAACTAAAATATGATCTTTTAATAATTTGTCAATATTAAATAATTTTTTTGTAGAACACTAATTTTATAGCTTCATCATATGCCAGAGGAGATGCTAATTCAATCTCTGTCCAGGAAACAGTAAGTGCTTCATCTCTCTATCGCATTGTACAATATATTGATTTTTCAATTGTTAAGTTTGAACACTTTAATTAATTCTCCTAAATTTCTTTTAGACATATATTGGCCCAGATCAATCCAAACCAAGACAATATATTTCTTTACTTATTTTAGGCCATTATATATATCATTGATTATTTTGTCAACTCAAAGAAGCAACTATCGTTTTTTAAAAACTTTAGCCAAGAGGCAAACACATCCTGTAGCTTGTAGTGAACATTTATGGAAGCGTACGAATGTTGATTGTTATATCACCAAATAGTTTTTACCATTTTAAAAGAAGATTTATCTGATTATACTAAATTGTATAATTGTGCTATAAAAATAGTGGTCCACATTTCCAAATTGATTGTATTGGCTGATATCCAAAATGTGCATTTTTAAATGAAAGAAGCATGCTAATGAAAAACTTGATCCTGAATGGAACATTTGACATTTATCCATTAGAAATAATAGGAAATTTTGTATTACTCAGCAGTTCATCAAAAGAATTCACAGTATTTTTTTTTCAAAAGGCTGATGCTCTTATTTTATATAAATAATTGAGAATAAGTGTCCATTATGGAAATGTCTTTTAAACCCTGATGGGTGGAGACTAAGCTGTGTAGGTTACCTGGTTGAATATTTGCTGGAATGGCTATTCATTTTTGTTTCAAGCACTTCATTAGATTTTCTGAGCACTTAATCTTTAAATGAATGCAAGTTTGCAGAGATGTGGTAACTGCCTATCTCTGCATAAGGGATAACTAATGATTTATGTACACGCTGGTCCACTGGGGATCTTACAGTGAGCTTTATAGAGTGAAGGGTTGCTTGTTTGTTTTAGTTGCTTCTCAGACAGATGTGACTTGCTGGGAGTAAGTTAATAAGGAAATCAATACACACATACACATTAAGATTGTAGCTATCTTTTTTAAAAAAAATCAAAACTTTAATCAGGTAGATTCTGCAGTGGATATACATAAAACGGGGATAGTAGTCTACACAGTGCAGAATAGATCCCCTAAAATAGTAAGAGTATTGGAAGGCCAATAGTGTAGAATAAAAAGATCCATTGTATAGAAAATGATCTACACAAGCACATTCAAAATGAATCTAGGCAGAAATTCATTACAGCTTAGCAGTCCATGAATTTGATGAGATTTTCTTGCAGTATGTTCTTTCATTGTGCACTTCCATAACAGCCAGCTCACAAATAAACCAGGTTCTGAAAGGGCTGTTAGCAATTCTAAGAAACAAAATCTATCAAACTTTATTTGCTTATAAAACTAACAGCTGCTGCAGTTTCAGAGAGGTTTTTTTTCCTTTTCATGAAAGCTAATCTTACTGCCTTTAATGTTCTTAACTCTTTCTAGAATCCCACAACCCCTTTATCTGACTTCTCCTGCTGCGTTCCCACCAGCCCTAAAACCTGAGACAGACTGAGTTTTTGCCCAAATCTCACTTGGGTTGCAGCAACTTCTCTCTTAGAGGAAATGAATGTTGCCCTGTGGCAGACTTGTGATAAAGCTGTGGTGGTGTTATCTCTCTTTTAGGTAGTGGCTCTTTATGACTACACAGCACATCGATCAGATGAGCTAACCATCCACTGCAATGACATTATCCAAGTGTTGTACAAAGATAATGATAACTGGTGGTTTGGCAGTCTGGCGAATGGACAGCAAGGATATTTTCCAGCCAATTATGTGGTTGGAGAAAGTATGTATCATGATTTTGCCTAATATGTGATACCTGTGGGGGCTTAAATCAAGTATCTGAAATCTGCTACGCTGTGACTTAATGTATTGCAATACATGTTACATATCAAAACGGAAGTAGAACTAAATGTGTCAATAATCTGAAAATGAAATATATTGACCAAGAAACAAGAATACTTGACAGTGAGCTAGATAAAACAACCTTGATTTATTCATTCTGAGGGTTCATTCTGTGTTCCTTCTAATCGAAACTGCTCATTGTACCCCTTTGAGTATTGATTTTGTCCAAAACCTGGAAACAGCATATATAATCTGCTTGTTTAAAAAAAGTATCAGAGATCTCAAGTACCTTCAGAAGAAGGATTTGTCTTTTTTCGCCTTCCATAACAGAAAATAATTGGACTCAGTGGCCCTGTGTGATACTTACTTTGATGTGTATTTGCTATCTAAAACCAAAACAGCCATATATTTTTTTCATGGGCTGATTTATGTTAATTAAATCAATAGTTTAATTATATAAATATTTTACATGATGAATTTAATTTAAGCAATTTTATATGTATTTTCATTGGTTGCATAATTTATTGTCTTTCTTCATCATGGGATAGAGCAAAGGCAATGCAGAAAACACAGCAACTGTCTCCGACCACAAAAACTGGCTTCTTCATCTCTACAACATTAGAACATTTTATTTTTAATCAAATGCGAGCAAGCCAGTTGATCACAAGTGCAGACAGCAATCTGTCTCTCTACAATCTTCAGTCTGCCCATGTCTTCCCTTGCAGAGGCCTTGTATCATTGAGAATTGTGCCCACTGATGTTAGAATTAATTTCCACAGCAGAGGGCACCCTATGCAAAAGTCCACCTATGAAATATCCATTTATAAATTTGTAGTAAGTGACAGTCAAAAACATAAGTTTTTCAAATATCTCATATAGAAAGTTTCCCAATAGAATGATGCTAATATAAAGCTGAGAACCTATAGTAAGTCTACAGCTAGAGCCAAGGTGATTCATCTTCACCATATTTTGCAGTTTCCGTTTCAAATATTTCAGTATTGATTCTGAATTGTGTATAGAGATAGTGAACATTTTGTATATCGTCTACACACACACAGAAAGAGAGGCATCCAACATATCTCTTGGATTATCAAATAAATCAGTAGTTATTGATAAAGGTATATTAAATAACACGTTTAAAAATATTCTGAAATAGAAAGCGGACGAACTAATTTGAAATTGCTATGGTTCAAATAAATAACCACTTGTATTAAATGAGTTATGGTTCCTTTTCAGCACAATATGAACAACAGCAATCTAAAGTATTAGCAGAAGAATCTACTCTTCCATCCAATGAATTTATAAAAGTAACATCACCAGCTGTGCCTGAGGTAACTATTTGGGAGAAAGGCATGAGCCATACCTCACAAGATGGGATTGTATTTTCCATTTCTTGTGGTAACAGGGTAATTGCCAAGTGCGTGTAGTATGTGTTAATTTTAATGTATGGACTTGCTTGGATTCAGCCATTCTTCAGGAATACAAGCCCAGAAGTTATTATGTACGCAAAGTACATTCCATATATGTTGGAAAACCTTCTACATGATAAAAAGGGAAAAGTTGACATTTAACTGACTTTAATTATCATTACAAATTATATGACTTGGTTATTTCATAAACATGCCATAGGAGATAATATGAAGATCTAGAATTTTCATATGATTTGTGTTTCTTTTCTTCCTAATATTTGACCACAATTCAGACTATGGTGCAGTTACTGTCTTCTCCATTGTGGATTGTAAGGCAGTTAATATGTCCAGATAAAAGACCAAGGGACTCTTACATTTGGGAGGGGGGGAGTAACCAAATTTTCAATAGTCCTTAGACAATGAAAAGACATAATCCTGGTTTTGGTTTTGGTTTTTTAAAATAGACCTGTGGATTTTAATTTAAGGGGCTACTTCTATAAAATCCAAATAGTAAATATTTATTTACTCATATTTATTCATTTATATTTAATAATTTCTAAAGAAAGAAAAGCTATCCCCATCAGATGGAAAGGGGCATCCCTCCTTGTGACTTAACTTAAAAGGGAATTCTATGTTTGTTCAACTAGGATTTTGTCTTCCTAAATGCCTAGATGGAAACATTGTTGAAGTAGGGTATATTGGTTTTCATCCTGCATACATGTGTTCCCACTGATTCCAAAATCTCTGGAATGGTAAAATATATATTTATTTTTAAAAGTTATTTTTGGCACCCTTTTCTGTGCCTATCTCTCTCTCCAGGTACATCAGTTAAAATTAAAGCATCCAAAATAAAGTGACGCTATATAGTCGCACACATAGTATAAGTACTATAGCAGTATTATTATTATTATTATTATTATTATTATTATTATTATTATTATTATATTATTATTTATTGGTTAATCTTTAGTGAGATTCACAGCCTTTGAGACTGGTTAATAGCTCAGCAGCTCGAGTCCTAACCAAGGACCTAGGAATTGTTAAGGTATCGTCGGAGGATGTAAGCTGTTCCGAGTAAGGTGGTTTTTTGTAGAGTCAAAATGTTCAAGTCCGGCAAATTTAGAATTTCTAAATAGCGGGGTAGCCCTTTGGGTATTGCTCTGAGGGCTCCAATTACAATCGGGACAACACACGATTTCTTTTTCCACAGTCGCTCAACTTCAATTTGTAAGTCCCGGTACTTTGTGATTTTTTCTTGCTGCTTATCTTCAATTCGTGCATCACCAGGTATTGCAATGTCAATGAACCATACTTTTTTATTATTTATTTATTTATTATTATTTATTATTATTTATTATTTATATTATTATTGTGTTGTTGTTGTTGTTGTTGTTGTTGTTGTTATTATTATTATTATTATTATTATTATTATTATTATTATTATTATATTGTGTCCTATCCTCTGAGACTGCTTAGACGAGTCCCTGTAGTTTTCTTGGCAAGATTTTTCAGGAGTGGTTTGCCATTGCCTCTCTATCAGTTACTCTCTGATAGAGAGTAACTGACCCAAGGTCACCCAACTAGATTTGTGACTAGGACAAGACTAGAATTCACAGTCTCCCAGTTTCTAGCCTGGTGTCTTAACCACTACATCAAACTTGCTCTGTAATAGTAGTAGTAATGATTTAATTTATTATTCTAACCCTTAGATCATGATATAATGCAATAGTAGTGGTAATAGTAAATTTACTGGTTATGTACTTGTAAGTAAACGAACAAGAAACATTTAAAAAATTAAAACATATCCTTTATGCTAGATGAAACTAAGTTTACTGCAACAATCTCTTTAAGTAGAATGGAAAAAATCTCAGTAATTAGAATGGGAGGAAAACATATCTGTGTATTTGAATTTAAAAAGTTTGCATTGATTAACAGTGTCACGTGAGCCTCTTCAAAACAATACTAAAGAATTAATGTAGTTGATAATGTCATATATTATTTGAATTCCATACTTCCAATAAGTATGGAAGTATAGTGTTTAGTGTATTCAAACTGAATTGTTGAGGTGGCTAACTATAAATATAGAAGTGAAATGTTATGGTTATAATCCATAATGCTCTCTCATATATTAGTGTAAGAGCATTTTGAAAAGTGGAGGAGTTTATGAAACCTGGAGGAGTTCATGAAGCAGTTAGAATATCACATGAGAAACTGCTATTTAAGAAAAACACCCAAATACAAAAGTCCCTTGGGTACACCTAAAGGAGCACACTCTGGATTGTAAATAAAGTATAAGACAAGAGTGTTTTGGAAAATAACATTTTTATATATAGCGTGGGCAGATGTTTTGCCATTTCTTTCTGGAATCCTTTTTATGTTGCATATGATAAAAACTTTTGTTCTAACCAGGAGATGGAGAGAATGATCTTATCTGAGAAATGCAAACTAAATGTCAAAAATATTCATGGCAATTGTTTCTTACTATGATTCTTTTCTTGTCATTATAGGAACCAAGATCTCTTAAGCCCAACATTAGATTCATTGGACTGAACAAATAAACTAATAGAATGAAATCAGTTAAAACTTTTTTTTTCTTTTCTAGGTGTTCAGAGTGAGCTGTTGTTTTAGAGCATTCATTTTCTGCCTTTCTAATACATATTAACAAAAGATTAGTATACCCAGAAAGCTCTCTAAAGAAGAATATTTAAAAGTCTAAGTGGCATTAATATGTTTAAACGCTAAACTACTCTTACCACAGGCTGACTTTTCACTATAAATAATAACCAAGAATTACAATTAGCATCTTCTGTTACTTCTAAAAAAACATTTAGGTGACTGAAAGGGCACTGCACACATCATACTTTATTTATTTATTTTTTAATAATTTTTATTACAATTTTTCCTTTACACAACTCTAATACATAATCAACAGACTGTGTCATTTTCATATACTTTGGGTCAACATTCCATACAATGTTATTGCATTATATATACTCAGTATCTAATCCTCAATAGCCTTATGTATATTTCCATTTTTTATTTCTATTATCTAATCAGGTATACCATTTTTCCCAAACCTCATAATATTCTGAATCATCTTTTTCTTTTAATTCTTACACATCATACTTTAAATAGCTGATACTAGCATATAATTTTTAAGTCATACATCTCTTCCCTCAAAAATATTCAGTTGTTTTCTTGTATTTGGTTTCAAATAATATTGGTAATCTCTAAGTCTCACCCAGACTTAGATTAATACTTTTGAGTGTGATTTTTTTTTCTAAGCACACCTGAACATTTCAAAGGTTTTTAAAGTAGAGGACTGTTTCCTTGTTTTAAACCACATATTGTGAGAATTTCTTGGGTGACAGATCTTACATATAAAGTGAGGTATATTCTCTCCTCATTCAGGAAGCCCGTGGGTTTGTCATCACACATGTGTTGACTCTATTTTCTCCCAGCCTCCCTTCTCTACTGATTAAAGTTTTCCTCTTGCAGATGCTAGCAGATACCAGCAAGTTGGGAGACCAAAGATTTATTTCAGTGAATGACACAGACTACCTGGCTGAACAGTAAGGCACCAGTAGTACGACATAGATTGTTAAATTGCTCGGAAGAAGCTGAAAATCAGGGTGTTTTATCATTGCAGTCATCCATAAATAATGAACTAAATTGGTATAAATTATCTTGAAAAGAGTCAGAGAAATTGCTGAGGAAATATAAAACTGCAATAAATGTGTTGCGTTACAAATAGTTGTTTGTATTCCAAAGATATTACAATAAGGTGCATTGTCTCATGGCACCATGATTGCTAAAAAGCCATGCTTCTGTTTTTTCCTCTTTTTTGTTGGCTCCTAATGGATCTAGCTATTTTGTTAAATGCATTAGGTGGAAAATAGATTATGGCATGTAATTGCAAGACCAGGCTAATATTTTATATAGGATCAATGTTATGAATTGAAGCCAAAAGAAAGTAAAACAAAACAGTCAGTAATCCAGGCAGGATGACATAACCATTTGCTTTATGGAAAAGTATTGGGGAAAGTATGTATAGTAAATGGCACTTACACACATTTCTTAAATGCTTTCCTAGAGATATTCACTGATGCTCTGTTTTCCAAGCTTTTTTCTTTTTATCTACCATGTAATAAAGCTGGGAAAATAGTGGCCTGCATATCATAATAGCTGTACAACCAAGGTTAAATTCTCTTATCTGTGAATAGTCTATTGTGGGGAATTTGGCAAGCAATCCAGAACTACGTATGAAAATACCAATCTGTTTCTATCAGATGTTCTTTCAGAGAGCAGAAACTAAGAATGGGCCTCAGTTTAAAATTCATTTCAGCTTTAGACAGATTTTTTTCTGCTTTTGCCTTGGTGTGTTCTAGCATCAGAAGAAGATCAGTCTTTAGTAGAAATGGGTATGAATGGAACAGGTTGGTAATTGGCTAAGGAATCTAGTTGAACTATTTGGGACTTTAAATCTCCAACTGCATCTATTATCCTATATTTCTTACAGAATTACATGTGGGCAAACACAGAAGGGCATGGATACAGAGGATAAGGCAAATGATCACATCCCATTCAATGATGTCGAGGATGAGCCTAAAAAAACCAGGAAGAAAAGAAAGAAAGGGATGGTGAAAACTACTAGTAGAAAGGGAACATCTGATGATGGCTTCCAGCCGAACTATCCAGAAGCATAGTGTCCATCATGTTTGTGGCTGTGAGTTTCATGGCTTAAAAGTACATGGAAAATAATGGAATTATTGCTTATTTTGAAATAATGATCTCATATATTTGAAAACTTGAAATATATATATATATATATATATATAGACTAACTCTAAACTAATTTAGATTTATCATGATGTGGAGAAGCCAAGAAACTAAGGAGAAAAATATGTTCTGAAAGTTCCAGTAAAACTCAACATGAGTTAAAATTTTTAACAGTGATTGGGTTTAGGCCAATTTGGATATACCTCGCTATCTGAAATTAATGAAATATTTAGAATTTTATTAAAGCTCTTCAGGTAACTGAAACAAAGCAGTCCAGTTTTCTAAAAATTGAATACCATTATGGGTAAAGACATGAGCTTAAAGTTTTTTATAATCTACGAAGGAAAACCAACCAGCTTAATTGTGATAGAAACATTTATTCTAGAAAGTCTTAAAGAATGCAATATTAAATACTTGTATCTGATTGTGATGAAGGAGTTTAAACTTAAAAGTTATCAGTTCAATGTGATTTTATTATTCCTGCTATACACTTACATAAGATTAGCCACTGCAACATACTGAAGTGGTTTGAAGAGAACGACTTACAAGAAAACTATATTGTAAAAAGGAGTGTCTATCTCCACCAAGAGTTGGAAGCTTTTTGTATGTTAACTTTAAATAAAAAGGTGATATATATTTTGATATATATTTTTAATGTGAACGAATTTACAAAATTCTTTTTATAAATTTGTAAAGGCAATTTTTTTCTGCTTTTAAAGCACCATTGCCCATTTTTTTTCTACTGTTTAGAAAAATAATTTGACATCTGTATATGAGCGAGATATGTTTTTAGGCAGCACATGTTTATGTTCAGGTGTAACTGTTTTCAAATTAAAAAGCATTAAGTTGTGAATGGTGTATCAGTGATGATTTCCGGTAACTTTATTTATTATTCTCTTGTGTATATGTGTTGACTACTGATGCTCACATTATTATTTATACCATGTTAGGAAATTCTGCCCTCTTCCTTTCTGAAGCAATAAATAACATAAAATTAGAAACTCCTTTTTTAGTAGTCATGGCATTTGATTCCATAAAAAAAAAAAGAAGTGAGAATAACCAAGTTGACCACTGATGTGCAAAATAACACCCAGATGCACAGGATTAAATTTCAAATATTATACAATCATCCCACATGTTTAACAAGCATAAATAATAAAAATATTGAATATCTGTTTACCTGAAATGTAGACAACCCTGAATTTAAAACAACCCTCATTCCACAAAACAAGTGCAAACACAAATATATATTTAATTTATTAGTTTTATATGCTGCCCATCTCATAGTTGAAGTATGTATGCACATTCATTTGCAATAATGATCCATGCACCAATTTATTTCTTTAATGATGAGGAGTTGCATGAGATTGCTGTCTGAATACACACAGAGCAATCTCATGCAATTCCTCATCCTTAATAAATGTGTAACTTAATTGCCAATGAATGGCATACTTGTAGGTTGTGAATCTGCTGCCAGAAACCATACTAAAAACTCCTTATCAGGACTAAACAATGTATATTGAATATTACACAAATGTGCATTAATTGAATTAAAAAATAGCTAAATAAAGTGCCTATAAATTAACTTTCTCAATAAAAAATAACTGAACCCATCTGGATACACAGTACCAACTATTATCACACACAAACTATTGCACACAAAAATACACTGCATACAAATGCATAAAATATTCTCTCCCTTTCTCCCTGCCACAATGAAGAAAATGAATGAACCAGGGGGAAGAAGTAAGGGATCAAGAAAAGAAGGAAAAAAGAGAGAAACCCTGTGATACAAAGGGTTAAATTTACAAAGGAGATAGCCCTTCGAAGCATCAGTTAATATGCTATCTTACCTTCAATACTCATTCTAATTTATTTATTTCAGAGCAAATGTCAATTTCTTCAGGTCACTGCTTATTAGTTACACCCTATAAGATAAAATATGTGTGGATGTATGTGTGTTTTAAAAAGCATGTTTTAATTGTGTAAGAAGATAATAGACCAGTCTAGCTATAACCTCAGCATGAAGAACATGCTGTTCTGTTTCATCAGACTAGGATGTAGATGATGAAAAAATCTCTGTCTAAAACAGCAAAACTAATCAACAGTGTTGTTATGACAATTTTCATGTCAAAGGATGGAAATAAGAGATAGAATTGTGGATATAATTGGCAATTTTATCTTTAGATATCTCTAAAGATTTTGAAGAGCATAGGGGATAAGATAAAACATGGTTAGATCTTATGTTAAAGATTACAAAGTGGAGTGGTACCATCTCCTGGCCCTAGTTTTGCGGAACAACTATCATAATGATAGGTCAAAGATGCCATAAAATATAGCCTGCTAATCTGGTTGACATCTTTTCCTTTATATTATCACCACTTTTGAACGGTTCAGAAGAATTCTCATGATTCTATTCCATTGTCCAGCTTCATCTTATCAAGATAATTAGAGTCGTTTCAATCCCAGAATGAGACTGAAAAAAAATGCAGTGGATTTATATTTACAGTACATTTTTAAACTGCAAATAATGGGAATTAAACATTTCTTCACAAAAATTTAGAAGAGTAAAATTGCCATTATTTGCTTCATTGGTTCACTGGAAGAATGCTTTATTTCTGATTCTTCTGCTTATTTAATATCCTCAATTTGCCTTTTAAAATTTTTCCTTCCTTAAAGCATAATTTAAACATGCATCATGCTATATATTAGGCATTACCGAGAAGTAGCCAACATTTTGATGCTCGTTTGGTTGGCATCGTTAACTATTAATCTGATATTATGGACATGGAAGATAAAAATAACACTTTACATAAACACCACAAAGAAGTGGTAGCTGTAATCAAAGGCCCAGCTCCTCCTTTTCAGCTTGCAAACTAGGGCTCCAATTATGTACAGTGTTTTGAAGCTGAATGGAGCTGTTTTGCCACACTTTCCAAATTGAGAGAGGACAGGCAAGAACAATATCCTTTAAGGCACTGTTCCAAATAACAATTAAGGAGTGAAATCAGATAAAAGCCCATACATGAAGATTTATGGAGCTGAAAACATACTTTTCAAAATGGCATTGCGGCTATTGTCACTATAACAATAGTGGGGGTTTTATTTGCATTCATCTTCCCACCCAACTCATGGAGTTAGAATCCTTTACGGCTTTTCATTTGAATTAATACCTGTCTGTCTTTGTTGCTGTATGCAAAGATACTTGTTGAACAAGACAGCATGCAAATCCTTCTCAATGCCCAAAGTGGTCATTATTATTATAATAACAGGCTCTTTTCCCTAAATATGACTAAAGGTTAGCGTTCACAAAAACTCCCTGCCTTATTTTTATGCTTTTTTTCTTAGATACTATACTAGCAAAAGAAAGAATCCCATCTTTTCAGGTGATGCAACATTTTCAATATGAAATTTCTATATTGAATCTATAATACCTGAATAATATGAAGTAATGTACGTTTCTGTGAAAGGTTCTAACACAATGGAATATATTTTCCAGAAAAGTAGTTTCACCACACCATTGGTGTAGGAGAGTTTATGTGGATCTATAGGAAGAGGAAAAAAATGTTCTTTGGAAAGGATTCTAATTAACTGCTTTCTTTTTTTTATAAACATCTGTCTGACAAGTGACTGTCTTATGATCTAGAAATTGTCCTTTATTTTGTAACATTTTAGGTGTAGCGTTTTGCCAAATTCAATTTTATCCTTACCACTTGTGCACTGTCCTATCACCCCTTTAATATAAGGTTTATTAAAATGTCTGAATGGGAACTCCATTCCTCTGAATACTTGTCTGTTCTTCCATTGTAGACATAATCCTAGCCATTACTTATAGCTAGTAGACATAATCCTAGCCACTCATTCTCTTCTATTGAATGAGAAATATTTTACCTATGTAGTAAAACAAAATTGCTGACATTAGTTTAATGTACTCACAAGGTTTTATAAAATTCATGTTGTTAAATATGTTCCAGAGCAAATATATTGCAAGATGACGGTGATCATGTGGTTAAGCTTTAAACCTATGCTCACCTACCTGAGAATTAACTTAATGAGTACAGTAAAATGTACTTTGGAGTGCACATTTGTGATATTACTATCAAATGATAATATTTTAGATTGAAAGAATAATGGCTAAATATAGCATTTCCCAGAAGGTGGAACTTAATTTCAGTTTCAATGGGGTGAAATGAAATTCAATGTTTGTACAATAAATTACAATATTCTAAATGACAAGCTCTGTTAGATCTTACTGGAGTAGAAAGAGTTAAATAGAATTATCCATGCATTAGGACAAGAGAGTTAAGTAAAGCAGTTCGGATGTGAGATTTCCTATTTAACTCTTAACGTTAATTTATGTCCCACTTTTCCAAAAATCAACATCACTGTGATATATAAAATCTACCCATTTTCCATAAGAAATCGTGAGTCTATTATGTATAGATGTGTTTGCGCACTAAACATAGCATGCAAGGGAGTAGAATATACATTTGCTCTTTCAGTCTCACAACTATCATCTTGCATTTGAGTTTTGCCTTCGAGCCTCTTAAGGAACAGACATCACAAATCAGAAGCAGAGTAGCTGTAACATCGTTTAATTCAAAAGGCAAAAAGGAGATGGAACTCCATCAAGTAAGGATTAATGGGAACAGAGAGGAAGATGATAATTGAGGTCTCTGTTGACTAGGTAATGAAGTCTGCTGGAAGGACCCAATTGTCTGTGGAAGAATTGAATGTCAGGATCATTTAGGGTTAACAACAGTCCAATACAAGCAAAAGCAGACAACTATGAAAAATAGCTGGCATGGTAGCCATTTTGTATAGATCAGGGCTACAAACTTGATAATGAGGCCCCACATTCACTACATCCTTCTGCTCTAATTACTAAGGTGAATGAAGAATACTTAATCTGGGTGGAAGAGTATAAAGCAAGAAACCCCCCCTCCACAGCCTTTTATTTTGTGAACTCAAATACAGTATCCTTTAAAGGAACCTTTTCTAGCATGTATAGAATTGTTGTTACTGTAACTTGCATTAGGAAGGACCATTTATTAAATTAAGTTCTATTTTAAAAAATGCTGTTCGTTGTAGGAAAGGAACTGTTCAAAATGGTTTTTGAATATGCAAACAAATTCTGAAATGCTAGTCTTTATGTGACTAAATGAGCTTGATTTTGCTATTGATAAATCATACAGTATATGTTTTTTAAAAAGAAAAAACCCTAAAATCAATATTGTTGACAGAAAAATTAAATTTGGAGATTAGAGTACAATATTAACAAATATTGTGTTTGTGTTTCAAGTGGTGGTGGCTATAGGGTTTTGCTGCAAATTGTTGTGCCATGAGCTTTGTGTACTTATGACATCTCATTACGTGTAGAAAAAAAGCAGAGCTTGTGATGCCACACTGCCATACTGGTTTTGTAAGTCTGACCTCCTTGCCCACCTCCTGACTGCTGGTGGTCCGAAATATATTACTATTATTTCAGAGATAATGCTTCAAAAAATAGTAGTCACTGCTGAAAAGCAAGGAAATAATTAGTTCAGCTCTCATTTAGGAATGTGCTAAAATTGGCTTAAGCTTTGGCTTCCATTTATAAACATATACAATTAGAAATATATTTACTTTATGAGTAACAGTAGCTCTTTACTGGGTGCTATCATAGAAGAGTTCTATAACAGGAAAATGGAACGGCACAGGAAAATCTTTCTCATGGATGGGTAGGCAATTGCAAAGAGAATACTAACTCATTTCATTCTCTAAAACAGGGATGTCAAACTCGCGGCCCATGGGCCGGATGCGTCATGCACTGGCCATGCGCACCCCAGTTTTAGCGAAGGGGGGAAAGTTGCA